TTGTGAGTGGAAAAAGCAGGTTTTTTTAGAAATGGAAATGACCACAAGAATCTAAAGCCTTTCTGGAGAATTTCTGCCATAGATATGGCACAAGTCTTTTTGCTCACAGGACATGAGCATCACTAGCAAGGCCATCATGTATTGTCCATCTCTAACTGTCCTTGAGAAGGTGCTATTGAACCAACTACTTGAACTGTTGCATTCTGTGTGATGTAAGGGAGTGCTGTTTGGAAGGGAGTCACAGGAATTCAACATGACAATGAAGGAATGATGAAAATATTTGAAGTTAGAACAGTTGAAGGAATTTGTAAATAGCAATGTTCCTATGTGTCGAATACGATTACAAAATGACTTGATGGTACTTAACTGGCATAAATAACAAATATTTTGTTCATTCAGCTGTGGAATGCAATATTTATTTGAAGTTGTCGTCTAATGTTTTATGAGGTTTGTTTCAGATTCCTGTATGTAAGGTTCCTGTTGTGTTGCTCGATGAAAACATATTGTGACCCAGTCTGTCTCCAGATCTACCAACAAGCCCCAATTACACCCCACACTTAAATATCATTCTACTTTTATGCAGCTTTGTTAGTAGCATTAACAACTCAACTCTGTGAACATCCCTGTTTTAACAGAAGTCCTAGTGAAAATTAAAGATGTAAAATATATGCACATATTTGCCAATTTTGTTATTCTTAATTTGGGGATAATGGATGTTTATAAACAATGGAAATGTTAATGTTTAGAAACTTGAATGAAAGATATCTAATATGCATTGAAATAGACAAATAAATACCTTATTAACTCATAAGTTAACTCTTAACTTATTTTTGCTAGTTTTATTATAATGTTGTGTTTATCAAAATGGAAGTGTTTATGTACCCAGTGTACTCTATACAGTCTAAATCTACTATTGATTAACTTTCAGTTTTAGGTATTATAATAATAGTTTTGATGCTTCCAATTCTTGAACTCCTGTATTTTAATTTTGTTTTTGTCTCCCTTTGTGTGGCTCCTGTGAATGTCTTTTTAGAAACAGAAGAAGGAAAATCCTTTGAGGTAGATATCAAATTGATTGATATTCAATCCAAACTGCGAGCATATGTTTGACTTGACAAAAGTAAGGTTACAAGTGACTTCAATAAGCTACTTAAAAATCTTTTAGATGCGAAATAGGATAGCCCCAAATTAGTGTTCAGGATCATTATGGCCGATTAAACTCTGCCCCATAGCAAACAAATTTTCCGCCCCTTGATAATTATATAGATTTGGGAATGCAGCCGAGTGCTCAACACATTGCTGAATGGCTGCATGCCACGGTGGAGGTGTTAGATTTGAGTGAAGCTAGTGCCGCTTAAAGCTAATTTATAGTACTTAAAATTGGCCTGCCCCAGTTAAAGGGGAGATGCCTTCTGGGTAAAATGTTTTAAATAAGGGTGAAAAACCGTGGTTCTGTTTTTCTGAGGGCAGCAGTCACTACTGTCGCTTTGCTGTCTTTGCACCTACTTGTTTTCTCCTGCAAAACCGAGGACTCCGAAATGTGCAGTATATCTTTAACCCAGCTGAATCCTTATAGTAAAGGGCAGCTAGGGGAAGCCATGCAATGCCTCCGTTTTACAGCACTTTTGCCTACCAACTGCACTATCATCATATCCTTCCACTCACTTCTCATGTGCAACACAAAATCCCGTAAACATTTATCAAAAGATCCTCCAAACACCAAATAATTCCAAAAACTCAGCATAAAACTTGTATAAAGTAATAACCAACCTTTAAATAGAGCCAGTGGGGACTTACTAGTGCTACTGAATGTCCGTGTTTAAAAGAGGCTGTAAACTATTATGAGAGGCCAAAAATAGCAGGCCACTTGTCAAATCAATATTAGCTGTTGACTGGCATCACAATCTGCCATGTCTGCCACTTCTTGTCCATTCACATTGACCCGTGCTAATGTTCTCACCAAGCTGTTGGATGAAAGTAGCGCAGATACTTTCTTACAACTATACGGTCACCTAAACTGAATTTTGTAGCCACAAAGTTGTGCAGTAGATATATTGAGAAGAAATTGTTCATGATGTGAACAGATATTCCACTTGGGGAAATTATAAACTACTTAAATTAGCTTTGAAAAATTATGTTGATAGGCTAAGACATTAGAACTCTCCAGAATTTTGTGAACAATGCAAAGTCATGCGTATTAGTGCAAATCATAAGACATGTTGTTTTCTGTATTGAGTAAATTGTTTAATATTTTGTAGGTCAGAAACCGCCTACCTGATTATGTACAGAAGAAAAAATGGTGAGGTACAGGAGTTTGTACAATTAAAATGAGTAATCTTAATAAATGGTTAAATAATAAAATTCCCCATTGCACTGTATTTAAGAGATAACATTTATATTCTTTGTGTTTTGTAACATCGAAATTTTCTGTACTGACCCACCTCATGTTGGCCTGCTCTTCTAGGTGGTAGAGGTCACAGGTTTTGATGGTTTTGTCACCAGGAGCTTGGGTGATTGTCTGCAGTGCATCTTGAAGATAGATGGTATGCATTGCTGTGGAGGGAGTGAATGTTGAAGGTGATGAATAGATGTCAACTGGGTAGGCTGAATGGTATCAACATTCTTGAGTGTTGTTGAGGCAAGTGGAGAATGTCTTACCACAGTCCTGACTCATGCCTTGTGGATGGTGGACAAGCTGAGGAGTCAGGAGGGGTTATCATAAAATTCCCAGTATCTACCTGTTCTTGTACCAAAAATATTTATAGGACTGGTCTAGTTCAGTTTGCCATTAATGATAATCCCCAAGCTCTTGATAGTGGGGATTTAAACAATTAAAATGCCATTGAATATCAAATGCTGATGGGTAGATTCTGCCTTGTTGGAGATGGCCATTGCTTGACATGAATGCTACTTATCAGTCCGAGCCCGAATGATGTCTACCTCTTCTGCATGTGGACATGGCCTGCTTAAGTATCTGAGGAGTCATGAATAGGGCAGAGGGCAAACATCAGCAGACGTCCCACTTATGACTTTATGGTGGAGAGAATACCATTGAAGCAGCTGAAGACGTTTGGTTCCAGAACATTACCCTGAAGAAGTCTTGCAAGCATATTCTGGGACTGAGATGATTGAACTTCAACAACCAAAATGATCTGCCTTTGTGTTTGTTTGTGTAGTGACTGTAACAAGGTCAGCCAGCTAGACCTCAGAGAATATGAGTTCCCTGATTGGGGCTGTTAATCTGGTCCAATCAGGGAGCCATAGCTGACAGATAAAAAGGGGAGTTTCAGAGATTCTGGCACTCTGATAGCTGACTCTGAAGAGGCAGTACTGAAGTCAAGGCCTGTTGGTGTGTAACTAAAGAATAACTTGGTGATGGGGTACCAGCTTCTGTGGAGTTATTTTAGTTTGATGCAGTGGAAAGGTTTCCTCCTTATTCTAGTTTCCTTAAGTCTTATAGGGGTCATTGTTGCTATGTTCAGTCAAATGCTGCATGATATCAAGGCCTCACCTGGTGAGCTCACCTCTTTCTTTTTTTCTACGTATTGACCATGTAATGAAGTGACAAGCTGAGTGGTTCTGATGGATTCCAAACTGAGTGTCAGTGAGCAGGTTATTGCTGGTACATGCTGCTTGATAGCACTGTTAACATGCCCTGCCATCACTTTAACAATGATTGAGATAAACTGATAGTAACTGATAGGATAGTAATTGTCTGGGTTGGACTTTCCCTTTTTGGGGACATGACAAATCTGGGAAGGTTCCACATGTTTGATAGATATCTGTGTTATGGCTGTACTGGAATAGCTTGTCAAGAGTGTGGCTGGGTCTGGAGCATGAATCTTCAGTACCATTGTCAAAACATTGTCTGAGCTGTACGCTTTACAGTATTCAGTGCCTTCATCGATCTGTTGATTTTCCCTTGGAATGAGTTGAATTGGTTGAAAACTGGCATCAGTGATGCTGAGGAACTCTGAAGGAGGCTGAGATTGGTTTTCCACTTGCCACTTCTTGACAAAGATGTTTGCAAATGCTTCTGCCTTGTCTTTGCACTGATGTATCGGGCTTTAAAAATGGAGATTTTTGTGTATTCCCCTCTCCCTGTTAATTGTTTAAATGTCCACCACCATCCAAGACATCTATCATATGTTACTCCAATGCTTGGCATGTGAGTAGTCCTGTGTTACAGCTTCACTGAGTCAACACCTCATTTTCTGTCTCCTGCACTCTTCTTTGAGCCAGGATTGATCTCACGACTTGATTGAAATGGACATGTTAGGCCATCAGTTTACATAAGGATTGAATACAATTCTATTGCTGCTGAAGGTCCATAGTGTCTCATCAATGCACAATTTTGAGCTGATGAATCAGTTCAAAATCTATTCCAATTAGCATAGTGGTAATGCCACACAACATGGTCATGGGTATCTTCATTATGCAGACAGAACTTAATCTTCACTAGGCCTGTAGGCTACGCACTCCTACCAAGTCTGTGATGGACAGATAGATTGCTGAGATTGAGTGTCAGATGCATTTTTCCCTCCTGTTGGTTCCCTCACCACCTACTGCAGACCCAGTCCTTCAGTTATGACCTTCAGTATATAGCCAGCCCAATCAGTTATGGCCCTACCAGCCACTCTTCATGATGGACACTGAAGTCCACATTCACGGTATAGTCTGTGTCCTTGTATTCATCAGTGCCTCTTCTGATTAGAGTTCAACATGAAGGGCTACTGATACATCAGCAGAGGGAGAGAAGTAGGTGGTAATTAACAAGAGTTGTTCATACAATGTTTACAACTAGATACGTGCAAGATTCCCCAATTTATGACTCCAGATGGAATACATCAAATTACTGGGTGAGGATAGATGAACCATCTCTCCTCCTTTATTCACTTATCCCCTTAGTTGATTTCAACAAGATTAATTTAAAAAAGGATTCCTTCCCTTTTGGATATCTTTCTCCGAGAGCCATATGAACTGATTTTTTAAAAAAGAGACAATTTAACAAGGTTTTCTTCATTAACAATGTGAGTTTATTAATTACTAAACATGAGAAGGATTAGTAACACAACACACACGTATACAGATTACAAGTAGAGTTGGGTTCAAAATGATAAATGTTTTAAAAATACAGATATTCAGATGAGTCTGTGAATTGTTCATGAGGGTGAAGAGTTGCAATGGAGGCTATTGGTAGTGTTGATGTTGGTAGTTGAACAGTTAGTTTCACAATCCTTAGTTTTTCAGATTGATTTAGATTCTGTGGTTCTGATACCTTTTGACCAGGATTGAATTCCAGAATTCAGGATGAGAGAGGTTTCATTTAGTATCCTATTTTCTTTTACTGGTTTGCAGTACTTGGAGTGATAGACAATCTTTCCTTGAAGCATGTGATAACTTCTTTGACTGTGATCATCACAACATGCTAAAGTTTGAATCCAGGCTGGTACACATGAAAGCATTCAGTCACACTACTACCCTCCAGTAGAGTTGAAACTGGCATTTAAACCCCTCTTCTTGCATAATCTTCATTATGTCTGTAGTTTGGGACACAATCCAAAAAGTGCTTTCTGTTGAGTATGGGGCCTTCATTATCTTCGTCATCGCACACCTCCTAATTCAGTATTTTTGAAACTACCTCTTCCCTTTTGTGGTGTTCTCCCTTCCTATCCATTGATGTGAAATTCTGTGTGTCTGTCTCTCTAGAAGGCCAATTAATTTAAACCTGCAACCATTTTTGGCTGATCAGCATCTTTTAAAAAAGTGATAGGCCTGGAGTCAATGTTGAGGTTTATGACTGTGCTGCTGCCTCTGTCCTACTGATGGAACAGGACTGGCTTTTAATTCTAGATTTATATATTAATTGAATTTTATTTCCACCAGTTGTCATGGTGGAATTTGAATGCCACTTAAAGGGCATTAGTCTGGGTCTGTAGAGTATCTGAACAGTAACTTTACCACAATGCCACCAACGTCTCAATGACTCCAAGCTGTGGTACAGAATAGACTGAGTTAACTTCATAAATTGCGGTTGGAATTGGTGTTAATAACCCTTTGTAAGCTGAATTTACTACCTGAAGAATGGTGAAAATTTGTGGAGTATATACACTAAGAAATTCTAAAAATCGATTGGAGGCCTTAGTAGAAGAGATTTGCTAATGCAGTTGGGGAAGGGTTGAATTAGATTGCCAGTGGGATGGATCCCTGAGACGGAGCTCAGATTTAAGGGAAGAAAACCTAAGGGGGTGTGATTTGTACCCATGGAGCATACCCTGAGATGTTGCTGTTTGGTATCCAACATAGAATCATAAAGATGTACAGCACCCAAACTGACCCTTTGGTCCAACTCATCGACCAGATATCCTAAATTAATCTAATCCTATTTGCCAGCATTTGGTCCTGATCCCTCTAAACCCTTCCTATTATTTACCTATCCAGATGCCTTTTAAATGTTGTAATTGTACCACACTCCAGCACTTCCTCTGACAGTTCATTTCATACACGCACCACCCTCTGTGTGAAAAAGTTGCCCCTCAGGTCCTTTTAAATCTTGCCCCCTCTCACCTTAAGCCTATGCCCTTCATTTTGAACTCCCCTACCCTGGGGAAAAAGACCTTGACTATTCACCCTATCCATGCCCCTCATGACTTATTAAACCTTGATAATGTTCCTTCCTCCAGGGAAAACAGCCCCAGCCTATTCAACCTCTCCCTATAGCTCAAACCCTCCGACCCTGGCAATATCTTTGTGAATCTTTTCTGAACCCTTTCAATTTTAACAAGATCTTTCCTATGGCAAGGAGACCAGAATTGAATGCAGTATTACAAAAGTGGCCTAACCAATGTCCTGTACAGCCACAGCATGACCTCCCAACTCCAATGTTCAATAAAGGTTAGCATACCAAATGCCTTGTTTCACTGCCCTGTCCACCTGCAACTCTATGTTCAAGGAACTATGATCCTGCACTCCAAAGTCTCTTTATTCAGCAACACTCCCCAGGACCTTATCATTAAGTATATAAGTTCTGCCCTGATTTGCCCAACCAAAATGTAGTACCTCGCATTTATGCAGATAAAAATCCATCTGCCACTCCTTCAACATGGCGGATCTTCAGATCCGGCGATGAGCTGAAGTCACCAGGTACACAGTCTAAATTCTGAGTTGAATTTTCAGCATCCAGTTTGCTGATCGCAGGTGGTGATGGAATAGGAAGTTGCAAATAATTTTGGCAAGATCTGCAGTTATTAAATTCACTACCAAGCAATGATCTCCCTTAATAGGTCACTCGCTACTGCTGAGACAGAATCCCCTCAATACTGGGGTTTAAAAATACTAAGTTGCATCTGACATTGAGAAAAACCTCATTGGACTTCTAATGTGATTCTGCCACATTTCTTGGCGTAGCCCATGTCATTCAGACCTGGAAAAGATTCTGCACAATCAATTACATTGTGGTCACATCAGTAAATGTACTTAAAAGCAAAATTATTAATTCACCCCTTTCATGACATAATATTACATCCAAAATAGCCTATCCTGCAGCTGGCACCTCAACATGCTGCTGTAGCAAACCTTTGCTCAGGTAATTCAGAAACTTATCGTCCACAGTTAGTGCTTAATCTCTTTAACCAGTTTATATGCAGACTGAAGTCACCATGATTACTGTGTTGCCCAGGCTACATGTTTCTCTCATCTCCTGATTATACCATGCCTCCAAACTACCACTATTATTTGGTGGCCTATAAATAATTCCAACTAATGTCTGCTGCTTCTGGCAAACAGGTTCCACATACTGTTCTTCCAGTCTGTGGATCTTCACCTAATATCCTGATCCCATCTTGTTCTAAGAGTTCTACTCTATCCCTTTTTCCCTCTTGTTTATCCTCCCTAATTGTCAAATATCCTTGGATATTCAGTTCCAGCCTAGTCACCGTGTGGCCATGTTTCTGTAATGGAAATTATATCATAACCATTTACCCCTATTTGTGACTTCAGATCATCTGTCTTGATGGGTGAGAGGAGGTTTGTTTGGGCCATAAATGTGGAGAACCATTTGGAACAATTTCCCATTGGCTGAATGGCCTGTTTCTGCACCATAATTTCTTTGTAATACAATCTCCGCAAAGTATCTATTTTCGTCTGTGACCAAAAACCAAGATGTTATAGTATTAGCTGGTTATACTTCCACTGGTACCTTTCAGATGATTACAGCCTTTACTGTTCCACAAAGCTTTGAGAATCCAAACTCCAGTTTGTTTCAAATGTCTTTGGCAAAAGCAAGGGAATTCTCAAAGTATATTGTTGTTGTTGAGGACTGGTACTTGTTCATATTGCAAAGAAAGATGTTGTGCTCCTGCTGCCCCTGTTCATAACTCCTTCCGTTTGTTCCCAACTAACCTACTATTGCTTGACAGAATTGAAAATTATCTCCAATGACTGTTCTTTCAATAGAATTAAAAATAGTTCCACATTTTAGAATGACGTTTTCCATATAGCTCAAAAGCTGACCTTGCCATGGACTGCAAGTCAACTCTTTTATAGTTCTTATGAAAATTTTGCCTGTAAAATGAATTAGATGAAACATTTACTTAGCAATGATCTATGTTGCTTTTATTTCCTGAGGAGCAAGATAATAGTTCTCAGAACTATTGAAGTATTTTGGGGACAGACACTGCTTATCATCGTCAGAATATAAACCAGTACTGTTTGGAGAGCTAAATCGATACACCCAGCAATCATATCCAAAATGTTGGAAGCAGCCAAGGTTCACAGAAGAAAACATTCACATTTTAGCAATCATAGTCTGAAACCCCTCTGTGATGGCATGCTGAAACTTTGAGTTGTAATGCAATATTGTGTGTGCCTTGTGTATGGCAGCTGTTGTAATTCAGTTTATAAATAGGTGGTTGTACTCACTTGTTATCATGTAATATATCTGCTGTCATCAGCCCAATTTAACCGCTTTAATAATGTCCATTAACTGTTCTGCAGTGTCCCAGCTGTTAATACAAAATGAAGGTATTTCTGTGGGACATTGATAGTAATGTACAGTTTAAGGCTACTTTCAAAGTAACATATTGATTATATGAAAAGGTTTTATTTTACGCAAAACAAGTAACCAGTTCAGTTTTTGTTTATTATTTTCATTATTCCATAATTGTGTAGTACTTATTATATTTTTCACATTTTGATTCAGGTTACTGTTTACATTTCCTGATTCATATTTCGTCTTAAAATGTATGAATAGCTTTTATGCTACACCCACCAACAAAAAGCAACCATGAAATAAATTTGTAACAGTGCCAATTATGTGAAGATTACGACTGTCCTCCAGATTTGTGTATTTTTTTTTCAGTTTGCCTTTTTATAAAAGCTGTAATTGAAACGTCTAATAAAAATATCAAGTGTGAAGACTAATTAGTAGTCAATAACTTCTGAGTTATTTAGAGCTACAGAAGAAATATCACTCTCTGGAAAAGCTTAAATTTGCATACATTTAACAGGGTCTCCATCTTTGACAGTCTGCTTGAAAAACTATTCAATTTACATTGTTATGTTGCAATACTCAAAAGGGGTGATGATAGATCAGTATATGTGTGGATTTATGTTTAGAGATCATGACTTACAGCTCAAAACCTGATACGGTTGATCCAAATGCTGATATGCACCTGATGGGTTCCTCTAGCTCCACACTGTGTTATCTCTAACTGATTATGTTGTTATGGTAAAAGAGATCACATTCAGTAGGTTCATAGGGCAGTTTAAACTAATTACCTCTGTTGAAAGACCAAACACCTTGGTGAGACCAACGAAGGCAATATACAGTGGTTTCCTTCGCTCAGATCATTTCTCTTTTAGATCCTGGACTGAAAAGATCATGCCAAATATACACCTTGTGGTACTGGCGCCACACTGGCAGTCAGGATAGCTGCATTCAGCCAAGCTCTGCAGTCTAACACAGGAAATCCACTTGTTGTAAGTACAACCATAATGCTACCAACAATTTGTGGCGAGATTTCTGAACCATATTCAGGGATTGTGGAGGATGTGGGATAGTTCAACACTCAAGAACGGAGGATTCATCACAATGAAGCCTACACCTTGCTCATGTGTTTCCCCTGAAATCTTCGCCTGCCAGATGAGCTCTCTGTTGACTGGAGTCATGCCTGGCACGAAGGAAGATGGCAGAGGTTGTTGATACTCAGTCGTCTCAGCCAGAGGGCATTATTGCAGGAGTTCCTCAAAGTAGTGTCCTAGGCTGAACCATCTTCAACTGCTTCATAAATGACCATCCCTCTATGATGAGGAAGGTTACTCAAATATGACCTCATTATATTCAGCACCATTTATGAATCTGCAGCTACTGAAACCACTTGTGTTCATTGCAGGAAGAACTGGGCAATCTCCAGGCATTTGCAGATAAGCAGCACATAACGCCCATGCCACAGATGTGCCAGGCAATGAGCATCTCCAACAAGAGAAAATCTAACAATTGCCTCTTGACATTAAGTGGTTTTACCATCACTGAATTCTCCACTATCGATAACTTCTGGTTATCATTGACCAGAAACTGAACCAGACCAGCCACAGAAGGGAGGTGACAACTGAGTAGTATTATCGGTGCACTGTTAATCCAGAGATGCAGCTAATGTTCTGAGGTCCCAGGTTCAAATCCCACCACAGCAGATGGTGCAATTCAGATTCAATTTTTAACAAATAATGACCATGAATCTGTTGTTGATTTTTGGAAAAACCGATCTGTTTCACTAATGACTTCTAGGGAAGGAAACTGCTGTCCTTACTTGATCCGGCCTACATGTGACTCCAGACCCTCTGGGCAATTACGGATAGGCAATAAATGCTAGCCTAGCCAGCAATGTCCTAATGCCTTTAATTAATAACAAAACAAATACTGTAGGTCAGAAACTGGGCATTATGTGAGGAATAAACCATCTCCTGAACTTTCAAGGCAATCAAAATGTTTTACTTTTTGTGGATAGGAGTGCTGTTCTCAACAAAGTATGGTCTACTTAATTAGACTACTTATTGTGATCTTCTATTGTAGACTATAATAAAGTATAGTCTACTTAAAATTAGATGTGTTGACATGTTAGAATGGGTAAAGGATGACAGGTGGAAATGGGCCTTACGTTAGCATATGAAGTACGATGGGTCATGGGGGATTGGTAGATGGGGCATAGAGTGATGTGGAAGGAATAAGTTGCCATACTGAATGTGTGAGCAGTGAGGGCTGGATGGGGTGTTTTTGATTTCATGTTTTTTTTATTGATTTTCAAAACATTGCCAGAAGTAGGCACGTGCCCAATTCACAGCCCTCAGCCTCCACTGTTACTCTGCAGTTGTCTGCTCCATCCTCCATGGATCCCCACCACTCCAGAAAGAAAATCCAGCAATCCAGGGCACTTTTAGCTGGTTCAGTTTGTGGAGCCAGGAAAAGTCCCATTTCCACACTTCTAACCTGGGGACAAAAATCTAGGCCATAATGTTTTCCTTTTGCTGATCTATTCTCTTTAACGACATAATACAGCAAGGCTTCCAAAAATGGAATTGAGCTGAAATGTTGAGGTTACAAGGGAACAATAGTCAATTTGAAATTCCAAGTGAATTCAGACAGATATACTCGCATTCTAACACTTGCCATTTTCCAAACCTCCCTCCCCATCCCTGCTTTTACAAATCTCTCTCCTGCCTCCATTTTCTCAAACGTTTTGCCCTCCACAAATGGCCCCCAAATCACCACCACCTTACAGTTCTCATTGAGTTTTCAAAGACTTGAAATAAGGTTGCTATGTTAAAAAAATGGGAGGCAGCGCACTTGAAGCAACACATGGACCTGTCGGTCTCACATAAAGCATTTGAACTTTGTTTAGCTATATCTCTACTGTTCCATGTCTAACATATTTGCTCTTCTAATGATCTCCATCCTTGGGCCAACATCAAATTTTCAATATATTTGAGGCAATCATGGACTGCAATGATTCAAGAAGGCAGCTCATCACCATCTTCTCAAGGGCAACTAGGGACAGACAATAAATGCTGGCCCAGCCAATGAGAAACATGTCATACCAGTGAATTTAAAGAAAAACTGGATGGAGATAATTTTTTTTAAAACCTTTGACTGCAAACACTGTATCTAAAGCATATATACAGTAAGAAAAGAAAGACTTGCATTTATACAGTACCTATTTTTACCTTGGTCTGGTTACTCTGGGGAGCAGGATCCAAGGGCTGAATGGCCTACATCTGCTCATATTTTCGATACATTTTTTTTACCCCAGGCCCAGAGCAATCTCTTTTAGCTGACTGGATAACTGCACACATTTAAAATTATAACATGAAACAAATATCTTGCAAACCCTTAGTTTTGATGTGTCTGGAAAAGTTTACTTGCTTTGTAGTTGGTCCCAGAAATATCAATAGTAATCATCAATGGAGAGTAATGAAGGTGGTGGTGAAGGTTCGTATTTGGGACATCATAAATACAATTCCCATCCACATAGGCAATCTGAGATACGAGTTTAATGGAACGACTAAAAATTTGTTAGAAAACTTTTAGCGAATCTGCCAGGGACTTAGAGCATCGTATCAGCATTCAGATCAAAAAGCAAATTGTTTCAGTACTTATATGCCTTTTCTTAAATGAGATGAATATGTTGCCTTTTCAACATGCCAGAGAAGAAAAGATGCCAATGTTGTTGCTGACCACTACCTGGAGGATCCAGATAAACCAGTTGATAAACAGATTAAAAATGAATGGACCATCTTGGTCGATGGAGGAGAAAAACTACTGACAGTGGAAATAGCGGACACTACAGGTCCCAGAACAGCAACCAGTGACAATGACATTTTTAATACGAAATATGGACTACACACTGTTGACATCTGAAATATTACTAACATGGAGAGAGAGAGTTTGGGAACTATTTGTACAATCGGTGCAAAAAAAATTAACTGGGATTAACTTTTTTGTAATTTTTGTATATTTTAAACAAGTATATATAAATGATAGATATTGTTCTTCTAATTTTTTATTCCTCCATATATATGTGTGATTACCTTGTCAACTGTACAAGAGGTCTCCAGACTGGGTCTCGTAAAATTCTATCTGCAATGTGTTTTGCATATACTTGTGGAACAAACTGCTAATGTTATTCAATGAACAAATATTTCATGTAGGAACCACAGAGTGAACATGGAACCACAGATCCACTGATAGTAGTTGTGAAGCCTCATGTTTGTTAGCACACACTCAGCTGAGACCTGGTCAAAGTTCGTAGGGTCTTTGGAAGTCCCTTGATTTGCAGGGAAATATTTATCGCCTGTTACTTCAAGATAATGCACTATGACAAGATTTTTCCTCAAAAGGTAGAAGTTCCTTTCATCACCCTCTGGAATACAGGGTGTTGGACAGCAAATATGTTTTTAAAAACATGCTAAAATCTTTGAGGGTCCACAAACCTGAACCCCTAACACATTTCACCTCCCAACTGGCAACCTGGTATTTGATTTGATTGATTTTAATCTGCCGGTACAGGCAGATCACAGCAAGCAAAGGATATACAGATCAAAAAGACTTAGAGGCGTACAGGTTACATTGCAGGTTACATTATTTGAGGCGAGAGTCCATTCAACAGTTTGATAACAGCCTGAAAGATGCTGTTCCTGGACCTGCTTGTGCATGTGTTCAGGCTTTTGCCTCTTTTGCCTGATGGATGAGGTTGTAGGAAAGCATTATCAGGGTGTGATGGGTCTTTGATGATATTGGCAGCCTTTCTGTGGCAGCAAGCCTTGTAAATAAAGTCCATGGACAGAAGGTTGACTTCCTTGATGATCTGAGCTGTGCACACCACCTTCTGTAGTTTCTTACAGTCCTGGGCAGAGCAGTTGCCATTCCAGGCCGTTATGTACCCAGACAGTATGCTTTCAATGGTGCATCTGTAGAAGTTGGTGAGGGACCTTATGGCGATGGCAAATTTCCTGAGCCACCTGAGGAAGAAGAGGCGTTGTTGTGCCTTCTTGACTGTCGCATTTACGTGTGAAGTCCAGGACAATCATTTCAACTCCCCCTCCACTCCTTGGATGACACGTCCATCCTGGGCCTCCTCCAGTGCCACAACGATGCCACCCGAATGTTGCAGGAACAGCACCTCATATTTCGCTTGGGAACCCTGCAGCCCTATGATATCAATGTGGACTTCACAAGCTTCAAAATCTCCCCTCCCTCGACCACATCCCAAAACCAGCCCAGCTCGTCCCCACCTCCCTAACCTGTCCGTCCACTCCTTCCACCTCAAGCCCCACCCCCACCTCCTACCTACCAGCCTCATCGCGCCTCCTTGACCTGTCTGTCCTCCCTGGACTGACCTATCCCCTCCCTAACTCCCCACCTACACTCA